ATGCCTATATACATAAAATGGTAGCTGTTTTGGTTGTTCGGACTAAACTGAAAAACCACTGGTTAGAGTTCAGTCAAATTGTCGGAGGTTATACCCATGATAAAAACATAGGAAGGTATAACCGTTCTCTCAATTTGTTGGCCATGATTTTTTTTTTGAAGTTTGCCAACATTTTAAAAACATATAAATGTGAAAATAAAAAATTGAAATTTTCGAAATTGTTGTTGCTTGAGATTGAAAATGAAAATGTGTGTGAGTTTGTGAGTAAATTTAAAAATTAAATTGTTTGGAAACGTCAAGAATTTTAAAAGTGACTCTCAGCGGTTCTACCTTACTATATTTTTATCATGGTTATACCTTTTACATATGGTCCTATTATAAACTAACTACTAGAGAACTCGCTTGGTGGCACTGGAGTTAAGTCATTTATAAGTGCCGTATTTATTGACCGACATCGTTCAAATTCGCAATGTGATGATGTCATGATGAATCCGTTTGCTAAAAATGGACCCGCTGGGTGTCGCTGGAGTCGAGATATTTAGAAAATTCTAATTTTTTATACAACCAGTTTGAAATTCATAATGCGTATTCATTTCATGATAAGCAATGGTTTTGCAGAAAAGGGACCCAAGGATGGCGCTGCAGTCATGCATGTGTTTGGTCCGCTTTGACCCTATGTTTATTTTATACGAATTTACTTTTCAGATGGCTAAATGAAATAATGTAAGCGCACCTTTGTCTGACGCCCTCATACACCTTTAATGCGATCTTGCATTCACCTCCGAATAACGAAAATGCTCGGGCGGCCGTTATTACAGCAGTAAGACTTAAAGAAACCAGTTCATCAATATTAAGACGAATTGTAAAAGTGGCGAATTGACTAGGAATGATTCGACCCATCCGTCTAAGAAGGAACACATACCTACCGTGTCAATGGCTTCATTAGAACGATACTCAAGAGATTACACGACTCATTTAGCCAATGTACGGGAAAACTTTTCATCCTATGGGACAGCGAGGATTCAGACCTCCTATAACATAAAACGCTCATCTGTGCTCTTAGGTTTCCTTATAAGGACTTTTATTGGCTTACGCATCGGACCAATGTTGTACTTGCAAGGTCAAAGAAGATTATACACTCTTGGTAGAGATTTCACAGGAAAATAGACCATCGGCAAGCTTTACAGACCGTTTTTTATTTTAAACGCTATTTTTGCATTGGCCCAAGCAAAAGTTCTTATTAGGCGCCGCGGAGCAAGCGGGCATTGGCTAGTAATCTTATGCAAGAGACCTGAAGATATAAGTGAACTTTGTCAATCTCTGGCAATGATTGATTTTTATCCAAAATTTTTACCTGCAGGGGCAGAGATTCAAGCAAAACTGAATGATTTAACGTGCAACAAATATATATAAGGCAAACTTTTACTGGACCATGGAGTTAAATCATGCATTCGAACATTGCAAGCACACCATTGCAAATGCAGTAATATTAGTGCACCCTAATCCGAAAGGAGACATTTGTCTTAAAGTCGATGCTTCAAATACCGCTATTGGAGAAGTCTTGGAGCAGAAAGAATGTCAAAATTGAAGACCAATTGGGTTTCTCTCAAAGAAATTATCACATGCTGAATGCGACTACAGCACTTATGATAGAGAGTTGCTGTCAGCACATTGTAGGATTAAATATTTTCACCATATGTTGGAAGCTAGAAATTTCATTTTATATACGGACCATAAGCATATAAGCAAAAGAAGTCTGAAAATGCAACTCCACGCCAGTTTCGTCATTTGGATTTCATTGCACAGCTCACTGCAGTTGTGCGTCATATATCTGGCAAAGACAATGTTGTGGCAGATGCACTGTCTAGAATTGGTGAGATAACTGCAATCAATTATCAACACATTGCGCAAGCTCAGAAGGCAGATGATGAATTGCAGTCGCTATTACAATATCCAAAATGACTTCAGTTAAAACTTATCAAAATTCCCGGATCGGAAATAGAGATATTCTGTGATGTGTCAACTCAACGTGTAAGATCTTACATACCAGTGGAATTTAGAAGAAACATTTTTGAAAATCTGCATAATTTGTCGCATCCAGGTACTAAAGCAACTCAGCGCTTGTTGACCCAATGGTTCACTTGGCCCTCTATTAATAAGGACTGTAATCAATGGGTAGTTTTGTTTAAAATGCCAAGCAACAAAAATTAATCGACATACCAAGTCGCCTCATGGTAATTTTACAGCGATCTTCCAACGTACATTTGGATATAGTTGGATCTTTACCTCCTTCTGAGGGCAAAATATATGTTTTTACTATGGTAGATCGTTTCACTCGTTGGATGGAAGGGAATTAGAAGACGGCACGCATGTGTGGGTGAGATCCGAACTTAAAAAGAGATTAGATTTTAAATATTCAGGACCTTTCAAAGTTGTCGAGCGAAACTCTTAAGTATTTTAGAATTCCATTTCGTCAAAAAGACACAATCTCCATCGATAGATTAAAACCAAGGCATAACAAGGTAGAAGTGATTTCGACATTTCTCTCTTTTGAACTGCGACTGAAATGTCAACTCTTAACCCTGTACAATTAAAAATTCGAATTTTTTAGTTTAAATTTTCAACTGTGAGCTGTGCTACTGATTTAAAATACACAATAAAAATGAATAGGATTTACGAGCGGTGTTCTGTGTGTGCCAGACAACAAACTTTATTGTCAAGTGAAGCGAAAAAGGTGGGCGAATAGCTGCTGTTTAGGTCCGCGACCTAAATATATTGCACCACCCTAATCCGCGTTTTGTCACTTGATGTAAGGGCACACAAACACATACATAAGTTACGGCTATCTTTCCAGCCGCTAACAACAAGCCCCACTGTACGGTAACTTATTGGAGGGGAAACTTAACGAAAGTTACTGTGCGGTGGGCTACATCCCTTTTCGTTTGTTGGCACTTTTTCACTTCTTAGAAGACAGCAAGGAGATCACGTCAGCCATCACACCACGTTCGGTAAGCCAACTCTTGTGAGCCACACTATTCAACCTCATAGATATTTACAAATAAAACGATTTTTAATTTCATTGCACTAAACCACTGTGTCTTTTATTTGCTCCTATTTTCGTTACATTAACTTTACGCTGGTGCGCTCCATCTTCGTGCGACGCCACCTGCGTAAATA